CTCAAGGGTTTCATCGAGCCGCAGGTTAAAAGCCCGGTCTCGTCCAGGGGTGGCACTGGGTTAACAAAGTCACCTGGCGCCTGACAAGGAATTAATTGTGACGAAGTTAGGGGATGTAGGACTAGGGTGGTACGGGTGTGGACAGGGATCGCCAAGGAAAAAGTCCAACCCGGGAAAAGCGTTACAGCACACGTTTTCATAATGTGAGTTTAAAAAATTCCTATCCAACTCTATGGACTAGCGATACCGAGAAAGCAAAACCCGTTGCAAATTTTACGAATTGTTTTTCCGTTGAATTTCTTGGTAAACATGTTTTCAATTGAACTGTGCCGACCCGCTCACGTATTCTTAATATCGACACAATAATCATTACGATGGACGGGTGCTGACATTTTTATAGATTCCAAGTTCTCCAGCTGCATGATGAGAAAAAAAAAATGTGATTGGAGGGGGATCTCTCGCTAGGTAAAGACCTTTATAGCTTATAAGGAATCTCCTTCCCAGTACAGAGCTCATTTGATTCTGTGACGTGAGTGTCAAAGTGCTCTGCCTTTGATGTCTGTTGATGCTGACCAACCAACAGGCACTAGAATTTCAACTTGTGAAGTGATCACATTTCGTCAATTTATTCAAAAGTTGGAAACTTCTGAGAGGATGAAGCGAGCTTTGCAATGGGATGCAATTGAGTCGATCAGCTCGTCAGATGGAGAGTCAGAGATCGGAAACCTTACTGACAGTGATGATGATGATGATGATGCTTGAGATGCTTCTACCCCATTAGATACCGACACCATCTCACCTGATGTCAGTGAAAACGTGGATCATTCGCCGGAGAGTCCAGCGGCTGTGGAGAGGGGAATTGTAGACTCTCCATCAAGCCCGGACTTCGAGTCTCCAGAGAGCCCAGCGGCTGTGGAGAAGGGGATTGTAGACTCTCCAGCAAGCCCGGACCTCGAGTCTCCAGAGAGCCTAGCACCCAAGGCGAAAGGACTTGTAGACTCTCCAGCAAGCCCAGATACACAGTCTCCAGAGAGCCCAGCACCCGAGGAAAAAGGACTTGTAGACTCTCCAGCAAGCCCAGATCCAGAGACTCCGGAGAGCCCAGCACCTGAGGACTCTGATTCAATGGAGATGGATCCGCCTGACTCTACTATATCAGAGTAGATATACCAGTGATTCTAGCGAATGTTGGGCCTACACCACCACCTAATTCAGCGGATGAGACAGAACCATTTGTTCGAAAGGCGGAAGTTGTTTTCCCGCCAGCAGATGAGGTGGAACCTGTTCGAATTTTCATACCCGAAGAATGGGAAGGTGTGATGCCGGAAAGGGCTATGAAGAAAAAGCTGAGAGAAATCATTAATCGCCCCTATAAAGTTGGTGGAACTTTTGTGACAATGGGAGATGTTCCAGCCAAGCTGATCTTCTGTCCTTATGGAAATATTTACTTTCGACCCATGGGATCATTTACACATCCCAAGTGATTGTCAACCAATATTAAAATCTATCCAGAGGTAACTTAATAACAAAATTCTACCATCTTATCAATCTGCTAACTCAATTACTAATTTCTTTCATTTTTTGTCTGTTTCAGTTGTAATTTCCGAGGGAGAATTATTTTGAAAAAGTGTCTTCTACAATCTGACAATTAAACAATGAAAAATGTTATTACCTGCGTTCTATTATTTTTTTTAATCAATCAAATTTAAATGTTGAACTAAAAAAAAAGTGGAAAATATTATTGTAATAATCTATGCTTTGAAAACTCTGTAATATTATTCCGTAAAAATATCTACGCATATATATATGTATTGAATAAAGAATATTTTCTGCACTTGAAATCTCTGTCAATGCTCCATTCTTAACCATCCACCAGATGTAAACATTTAGAGTTTACGCGCCAAACACCTAGGGTGAGACAGGCAACTTTTGGCGGCTCAGACGCTTGAGTGACAGAAAGAGATAGCGAAAGAGTGGGGATCATGTGGCGACTGGCCCAACGTTGTCTTGCAGCATCGCTTCGTCAGTACATCTAACGAAATCGAAGCAACAAGTAAGTGTCGTGAAGCGTGAAAATTTTTTACTGAATTTCATAGTGTCATCAGTGTATTTTAATAATTAACGATTGTTTTTTATGTTTTAGTGAAACTTGAAGTGTACGTTTTCCCGGATCCTGAGATGAGGCAGGAGTGGGAAGAAGACGATGGTCGAATGGAGGATTGGTGGTTGGACCAGCTGGAGAGAACTTGGGAAAAAATCCCAAGATATTATGGCATCATTCACAATCTTGAGGTACCCATGGACTTGCTGGCGAAGTTCACGGTGTATCTCGGACAGCATTTTTACGCAAATAATGTAAGTTATCTATCACAATCAGTGATCCTTTTTACATATTTCTTCTTCAATTAATGTATAATTTTTGGTTATAGGAATCACGGCTCCATCAGGTGTTGAGAGAATTCCTCAATTTTCTCCGGCTGGTTCACCGTGAGGATGAGGCGCTGGAGATGCTGCCTCACACTCACGCCATTGCAGCAGCGGCTGTAATGATTCTGGATGCCCAGAATCATTACAACACATAATGTAAATATCAATTGATTGTTTCATTCTATGATCGTCATCACTCCGCTATGCATTGAAATTGATAAAAAAAAAATATTTTGTATGTTTCAGATGCATGCTCCAGACAACTTTTTTATTACAACTTTTTTATTACAACTACCTCTGAACACTTAGAATAAGAAGTTTTTCAATATATATATATAACAAAAGACAAAATTTACAATTTACAAAATTTACGTGGTTTTCCACGTTGTTGAAGAGGCATGGGTTGAACTCGCCGTCCAGGAAAGTGATCTCCAAACGTTCAGCAGCAGCAGCCTCACCGTATTTCTCTAGCTTGGTTGGATCCTGTTGGAAGGGGTTGGACAGTCGTGGTGGCAGATACACGATGCACTCATCGTTCAGAGCGACAACCACTTTAGCACCAAATTTAGTTGAGATCACCTTCAGATTGGTGACTAAATACTTCTGGTTAAGTGACAGCTCCGTTCGACGTTTGGGTGGCAGGAAATTCCCTCGACTGGCAATTTTGTTGATGTCATCGAGATCCAGGGTTTGCTTCTCCATTTTGATTTATTTGGTTCTCTCCTCGATTCACTTCGTCTTAGAAAAAATTTCGTGTGACTGCACTTATAGGCTGGAGACTGAATGATGAATCAGTTGCTTTACTCCAGCTACTTATAGGTTCTTCGTAAGTGGAGGGGAAATGCAATTTTCATTTACAATTTCAATCGAAAAACAA